AAAAAAAAATAAAAAAAATTTTCACCTATGGAGCTATACTGTTCAGTATTTGTCTTCATAATTTTCTTTCAGTAGACAAGTAGATATAGATTCGTGTCATTTTCATAATAATGATGTATTTAGGTATTAATTACTAAGTTAGCATGAAATGAAGCTGTAAAAATTAATATTTTTACAGTTTCTAGCACGCGGCAAAAATGGAGGTAAATAGCCATATATGTTTGTCGAAAATAATCTGCCAGAAGAAATTGTTCTTGTTAGAAGCAATGTCTACCTAACACTGTTTTCATTTTTTGTTTTTATTTTTGCAGTAAGCAAGTTGTTTTCCGTGCACATTTGCAATCAGGCGAAAACCTCTTTGAGGTCACTCTCATTTAGATGGTAATGTCTTCTCAAGATTACCATCATATTCATCAACGAATAAAACATTGACTCGAGCCGCCATTGGAAGCGAATTAGACTTTTAGGCGACGGTAAAACAAAACTACGGATATTTAATTTGTGATTGCTTTGCGGAACTTGTTACCAAAACGGTTGGAAATACTCCCCCTTTACGGTAGCAGTATAGATCGATTTTGGTCGGAGGTGACATATTATAAGCTACATTTTAAAATACAGAAACGTGATGGGTTTATTAACTAATCGCGAGGGCGTAATCTATTCCTGTCCAAAACGAGTCGGAAATATTCAAATATTACTGTAAGTAAAGCCAATATTCCCTCTTAAATCCTCCTCTCTGGTTGTTGATAAATTCTCTCTGCGTAACATTTTACATCTCAACAGTGGCGGCTCATGAAGATAAAACTGGAATAGAATTTATTTTCTTTGTTTGTGTTGTTGACACAATGATTTGTATACTAAACAAATAAAATTGATCATCAAAATCGCGGGAACTTTTATCGCACAGCTAAATTACGTGTTAGAGTGTATAGTATTTATACCGGCTATCACAGCTCAGCGTTTAACAGCGCAACGGTATTTCGCTTAAATGTGAAATTATTAAAAGCCAGAGAATATCTAATGAGATTACAGTTAATGGAAGTTTAGCATTAAGTGACACCTGCTGGTTTCAAATTTACCAAATTTAGGCGGTTTAGTAATTCACAATAGTTTTCCTCAGAGAAGACCAAAACTTGCCGTATTGAATTCTTTCGTAGAGTGTTTTCCACTCTGGTCTTTGACAACGTGATTGCCATTAAATATTGTCAGATAAAGTAAATATACAATACGAAACCATGCTGAAATGGAAATGAAAGAATGTTTTTACCTTTTGCTTCGTGTCCCCCTGTTAGTTGTCCTTTGTGCGACGTATACACAACTTTTAACTGATCTTTTTTCCTCACACGCTTAGACGGGAAGTTTTAACGTAAGCGGAAAGCAAAGTGAACTTAATTACGCTCCGGTGTATGCTACCACTTATGAAGGGCTTTATCAATTAGGAGTTTTCCGCGTTTGTAAGTGTTTTCCGCGTCATTTTATAAACAATTGACGACACTGAAGGCTTTGATCACGAGATCTTGTCATATGGTCAAACATAGGCAAGTCTGACGTTCAAAAGCGTCAACTTTGCGCCTGGCGTCGCCGAGGAATTGAGTCGGTTTTTAGAAAGGCAAAATTTAAAAAGATTATTTTGTATGGCTTTGGTGTCTCGTGGCCTCTCACTTTAAGGCTGAATGAAACGTCTTTGCCACGATTCGAGTCGTCAAAGTAAAAATATGGAATCTGTTATGACGGGATTAAATGTTATTCATGAATAATAAGCGGAAAGAGTCAAATTTTTACTTGAGGGAAACCGGTTGACTAGGCTACACTGAAGTCTTCATGTTCGTTCCAGTTTCGGCTGAACGTATAACACGCGACAAAACACGCAAGAGGTCTGTGGAAGTGAATTGAATTTTTGGGTCATTTCAGAAGTGTCACTTAGTTATTACTCCTTACAGTATTTTGACTTGGTTCTATCTTGCTAACATACAGCAAGAGGTATTGTACGCTTAAAAATATTGTATAACTTTAGAGACGGTGATCCAGTTGCCTAATTCCTTGTTCAGTTCTCGAATTAACGTGAGTCAGCAAATCCATATTGGCCTCAACGATACACTGTTTGGAAACAAATCATTTAGCTTATTCATGTTGAGTGCTTTGTTTGTTCAAGGAAATTTTATTGGTGACGCATGGAAAGCGTTTATTTAAGGAAATTTCATTGGTAATAAATGGACAGTGATAGATTACGCTGCAGGGCACAGTATATCAATTGTTTTGCTCGTTGACAAGTTAACCACTGACATCAATAAACGGACCACTTTGAAGAATGTTTACTAAATTTTCTTGATTTCGTTTTTCGTAATTCATCTCAATCTTTCTCAGTCTTTAGCAACCCTTTTTCTTTCGTCTCATCTAAATTTGCTGGTCATTTTTGGTCTCGGTTAACTATCATACTGGTAGTATAGTTTTGGTCCTATTCTGAAGACAGCTTTGTTCATTTAAGGCTGAATTTCAGCCGGCTATTCTATTCGCACACTCCCGGGAATCGACAGTTTCAATTATCGACGTAAATACAATTTAAATGATATCTAAAATTTTCCCATTCACGTTTTTTCCTTTTTCAAGCCATATTTCCGATTCTGGTGCCAGTCCCGAAGACCTTTGATACTTTCATTATAGTTGGATAATACCGAATATTGATTAACACATTTTCACTGTATACTGTACATAGATACATGTATACATATAACTAATATAAGGGGTAAGCGAGCATTACAGTGGGGAAGGATTAAAGGATACGTTGAAAAAAAAAACAACTGACGACTGGATTGAAGAACTGATGCAAAATCAAGGAAGACTGTAAAGAAAAGCCAAGCTGAAAGACCAATCTGGATTGAAGATCAGTCTTGCGCAGCGCTTTACAAAGTCGTGTGAGATGATGTGAGGTTTACAGTAGCAGTTCTTAATTAAGTCCTGTAGCAGCTTGCTGTTATAAGAGAGGTGTACTGTGAACAAATTCCTGTTCTAAATTTAAATTTGAGTAGTTTAGTCGGCGTTGTGGAAATGAAAATGAGCCAAGCCGGTGTTCGTACAAAACTTAACAAGGAGTAAAGTGCTTGATTTCTGAGGAGCCAGGGGAAGTTAGTGCGGCATTTGCGGAGGTCATTTTGTGAATAGAATGCACGTGAAGGTGATGTAAACTGGACATAAACAGGAACTACAGTGGCGGCCAAGTGTAAAGGAACAGTTACTGTTAATACAGTTGCTCTTTAGATAATTACTATGAAAATGGATGGCGCATTTCCGAGTACTTATAACGCCTAGAAGTCGTTGTCCACACACAACATGCGATATCAGCCTGGTGCTCATAACAACATAACACGATCAAAACAGCTGGGAGGGGTAACAGCTAGTAACTAGCGCAACCCAATTATAAAATGTTATT